AGGGGAGGGGAGGGGGGATAGTAGAGGATAGGAAAGGCAGCAAAATACAACAGACACTAGTATGGCGGTATGTAAAAACGTGGATGTGTAACCGATGTGATTCTGCAATCTGTATAGGGAGTAAAAATGGGAGTTCATAACCCACTTGAATCTAATGTGTGAAATATGATATGTCAAGAGCTTTGTAATGTTTTGAACAACCAATAAAAAAAGTGGGAGCTCCTTTTCCCCACGTTAAAAGCAGGCTGGGAGTCACGGGTGGGTGGGGAGCCTCTTTACAACGCATTTAGAGAAGGCCCTTTAAAGTGGGAAATGTTGGATTGTTCCTGGAGGTCAGGGCAAGGAGTGGGAGAGAGGAGAAAGAACCGAGGTAGGAAGGTGACTGGGGCCGGCATGGCTTTGGTCAGTTCTCTCTTTAAAAACAAAAACTGGGGAGATTTAGTGGGAAATGCAGGAGGATGCAGGAAGGGTCCTTGCTCCAAGTGAATGTGGCAAAGAGTGTTGTAAAGGAGCCTAAATGCAAAGGGCTGTCAGATGGTGAAGAAGAAGATCACTGTGGAGCTGTCAGACCAGGAGCGTGTCCCTGAAATGGGACCTGGACTGGGGATGGAGAGTGACAAAGGTCTGGATGAAAGCTGCAGCCACCTGAAAGAATTCAACATGAGGTGGTGAGCAGCAGCACAGAAGGGGGATCACAAGTCTGGTTCTTGGCTTGGCACGTTGCTCGCTCTGGGAATCAGTGGCTCCTAAGGCCTCTGACAGTTTCCCGTGTCCTGGTGTGCAAACACCTCCCTGTTGTCTTCTGTGCCCTGCCCCTGGGGACAGGAAGGGAATGGAGTGTACAGGAGAAAGCTGGTCCTGAAGCTGACACTTTCCTTCTGGTTTCTTTTTGTTGTGGTTGTTTCTGGACACAATATCTTCATTTTATTTATTTATTTTTATGTGGTGTTGAGGTTGGAACCCAGGGCCGCACATGTGTGAGGCGAGCGCTCTACCGCGGAGCCACAACCCCAGCCCATTTTCCTTCTGATTTCTAACAGTATCGGAGCCCAGCGAGGTGGCACAGGCTTGTAATCCCAGCAGCTTGGGAGCCTGAGGCAGGAGAATCGTGAGTTCAAAGCCAGCCTCAGCAAAAACGTGGAGCTAACCAACTCAGTGAGACCCTGTCTCTAAATAAAATACGAAATAGGGTTGGGGATGTGGCTCAGTGGTCGAGTGCCCCCAAGTCCAATCCTCAGTACCCAAAAATAAAACCAAGCAAAACAAAAAAACCAACAAAAAAACAGTGAGGAGACTTTACAATTTTGAAGCTGAATTGATACTTAAGACATTTACAAACTGGAAGATGAGCACAATGATGGCTTCTAAAGATAATAACTTGTGGTGTTTGTAAACCAGGAGACTCATGCCCAAGAGTCCAAAGCACAGGACTGAGGTCTCCTTGATTCTTGACAAAAGATCAGAGCAGAGTGTTGCTTTTCATTCATTATCATTTTAGTCTCTCAAGCAGACACTGGAAGGGCCAAACCAATCCTCTGAAAAGATGGAGTCAATTCTGACTTCCCAGGTGAGGAGCTGTCAGGCTACAGGATGCCAGGGCACCATCTGCTACTAGATTGCACCTCCTTTGAGCTGTGTGATAGCCACAGCAGTCCTCAACACAAATCTCTCTCTTTGCTGGCAATGATCTGACAACCTACAGATGGAGCAGGTCAGAGGCACTTACATTGTAAGCAACATTTAAAAAAAAAATGACTTACAATACTTCAACGTTGTTGAAATTGTTAATGACTTTCAACATTAAAAATTTTTTTCAATATTTGTATCATATTTTCATACACAGCCACCGTGGTATAGTCTAATACATTTTTATTGATCTTTAAATATGTCCTTTCTAAGTCAATAATATTTTATTAACCCTTTAATCTATCATTAAATGGTTAACTTGGTTTCCTTTAGACAAAGATAACAGAATTCCAATGTGAGCATCCCTGGTCCTGTTGAAGTGTTACGAGAGTTGGCTGTTTGACTCAAATGACACCTGTTCTGTCACACTCAAGAGTGAAGGAAAGAACAATTCTGTTCATCTGGGGATATTTTTAAAAAGTACATCGACGCATAACTTAAATAAGCAACCTGATACATATCATAAACATACAAATTATGCCATTTTAAACAATATTTAATACAAAATGTGTCTGTAATTGGCTAATTCAAACAAAATATCTTCAAGTAATTACAGGAGTCAAGATAGTCTATATCAATTTGTGCTTTAGAACTATTGCTAGCTTCCTCTGGGAAAAGCTGAAGTAACCATATATTGTAGGAAAAAAGGTTTTTGCACATTTGACACAAATACACATGTCAACACCAGAAGAGACATAATAACATCTAACAATCCTCTTTAAATTTTCCTGAAGCAAAAAAAAAAAAAAATCTATTCCATGAAATACTTTTCTATGGTAATTATTAATTTAATGCTTTTGCAAGTATACAAGAGAGCTTTACTTTTTTCTTGGTCAGTAATGACAGCAAACATGTCTACATCTAGGAATATATATATATGTATACATATTTACATACATACATATTTAAGATCATCTAGAGAAAATGGGACAGTCTCATACACATATTCAGAGTGTCACAGATATTCCACTTAGGTCCACATTAGTGAGCTTTATGTATTGCCAGTGTTCTATATGAACAGAGCAGAAAAGCAAACCTTTGCTAATGGAACTCCTCTCTATCCATTCATAATCATAACACTTCCACCTAGAAAATTTAGGTGGAAGTGGTATGATTAGCTCTCATAAGAAAAATGCCTGTCCTTCTCAACAAATTTCTCCTGGGCAAACATAAATGTAATTGTAATTTGTTCTGGGAATTCAACATTCAGTTACACTGGCTACAGATGAATTGCAGTGACTCACTGTTTTTCCTGTGTGGAGGTAATATCCATAGAAAAAGAAATGTTCCAAGTGGAGAAAATACAGCTTCATGTAGATTAATTAATGAATTTCTCTGGGGTAAGCTTTACTTTTTCCAACTTCAGTTGAAAGAAAAACAACTATGTATTTGTCTCAGATCCCTGAGACATATTATAGGACAGCTCCGATCCTTCCCAGATAAAGTGACTCATTATCTGTGCATAATCAATTGGGGAAAACCTGTATTATCAAGAGGGGATAGAATATGGGGTATAAATGAAATGATTCACATTCCAATTGTGTCACATTCACATACCATAGGTTCCCTGGTGAATCAAAAACTGTACAATTCAGTCGGTGTTTTCTCTTTGATTATCTTAGGTTTCTGTTCGTGCTCTCATACCAAATATATTCTATTTTCATTACAATTTTAATCTTTGGCTGATGAGGGTTCTTTTTAAATGTTCCCATTCCAGTTTTGTACATAACCGAGGTTGCAAATGGAATTTATAATAGCAAAACAGGAATTATACATCTGAGCTAAGGTTGAGATGAGGAAAATCAAGCATTCCAACCTGGGGCCCACTAACGCTTCTATAATTCTCTTCTATTCCCTTGCTTTGTCATCTGTTGGATGGGTGTGCAATAACAGTTCTCTCTTATGTCGATTAATGGAAGGAAACCCATTTCATGCATTTGTTTTTTGGAGAAGGCTTACAATTATAGTATTTTAAATCTGAATGTATACCTAGGGGGTGGGGCAATTACTTGTTATGTAATTTCTAATGATAGCAATATTTAAAATCGAAGATTACAGAATAGGAAACATAGGTGCAATTTCAGAAGGCTAAAAAATAAGTCAGAGCTGAAATATGAAGGGCCTGAATGCCATCCAGAAGAATTTGCATTTTACTCTATAGGACCCATTATTTGGTGAAATTATTTTCACAGAGCATTTGTGCTAGAGGATGTTATTATGCTCAAGGCAAGCTCAGTTAAATACATTTGGGTTTACTTATAATAGGCCTTAAATAGGCTTATGTGCATTGTGATTCTACAAGAGGGGGTTTTTATTCTTTTTCTCAAACTAAAGAATGTAACATGGTAATAGACATACAACAAATGTGAAAAATGTTCCAGTTTGACATGGCAATGTTGGAGATGAAGAAAAGCTAGCTGTTATTATTATTTCAAAATTTTCTATGTAACAGGAAAGGAAAAATGAGGCTTGCCCTAACTTGTTCTTCCTAGGCTGCAACTGGTCCATCTTTCCCTCTTACTCCCAAACTGAGCATTCCCAGCTCATTTTTAAGGATTCCCTCCCCAACAAATTTCAACTGTTGAGTTAGACTTTCTGTTCTTTAACCAAATATATATATATATACACACACACATTCATGTGTATATATATCTACCTGTGCATTCTTTTTTTGTGGCCAATAATAAACAAGTACATTCATGTTCCTGGCTAATTTATACTTTGACTATTTCCTCGCTGGATTACCTCCAGTTTTTGCCCATTCAATCGAAGGTCAGTTTATATATAGAGGAACTCTTGGTATCTAGAATTAGGAAGGAAATAGAAAGGAAAACTGAAATACTGACACTATTCTGCATAGGAATGTGTGATGAGAAAAGGAGACCAAGACAATACGACGGTCCAAAATATTTGTCTGGCTTGTAAGTTAGTTACCTGTTCCATGCTGGTGTTATTTCATTGTTCTGCCAACAACTACAACCCAATAATTTAGAAAGGCTGTTTGTACAGCTCCCAGTATAATGTTGTTTTGGGTGTATCCTGTGGTCATGTCAATGCATTTTCCTCTCCAATTATTTGGATGTTTACAGAAAATTCCTCAAATAGCTCAGTGGGCATCAGTGAGCCAGAAAAATTATTTAAAAGCCTCTCCAATAATCCTGCAAACTCTCCCTTCTATGTGAGATAGTGGGGTTCCACACTGATGCCAGCAAGTAAAAGAAAAGGAAGCAGAAGGACACTCTTTGATCCAGGGTTAACAATGAAGAGAATTTTAAAAGTTCTTCAGCTAGATCAGTAAAATCTAGAATCAAGCCAGTGGAGGCTGACCAAACACTTACAAATACGTTGTCTACATTTGTACTTATTTATGACTTGCATTTCCTTTTGAGGACAATTCTAAAGATGAACAAGATTTTTACATGGTCAGGATATTTACATTAGTTTGGCTCTTTAATGGCCTCCCATCGCTCCCTCCCCTCCAATCCAAAGGCAAAAGCTGAATTTAAGGGTTTTTCATATGGGTATCCCAAAGAGAGCTTATCAGCCATAGGTTAAATATTTATGCACAAAGTGATTTTTGATGCATAGAATTCTTGTACTCTACAGATGAAGAGCAAAAATATTGCTATTATCAGTGGATTTTATTTACAGCTCTGTCAAAATTATGTGAAAATAATTCTCTCCCAAGAATCATTCTAGACATCTTTCTATACAAATTGGAGTGAGTTTGTGTGTGTGTGGTGTGTGTGTATGTGTGTGTGTGTAAGAGAGAGAGAGATTGGTCATACAGATTAGCTCAAAAGCTATTCTGGCACAATCTGATAAACTGAATTGCATGTAATGACCTTTAAATAGTAGGCTACTACCAGAAAGAGATGACTTCAAGCTCAAATTTCTCATAGCAAGGCCTGGATTAAAGATGTGACAACAGACTTCAGAGAGAGGAAAAATCCATTCATCATAAAAAGGCCATTAAGCTCCAGTTGTAAGAACATCTTTGACTCAGAATCTTTTATTTCCACCAAGAAAACCACTTATGCTCATGGTTTAATGTCCTAATTTGAAAAATGGAAGACACACTAAATTAAATTTTAATTGATACTGCACGTCTATGTCTGCTTTCTTTGTTTCTCTAATGCAAAATATGCACCAAATGATACAAGTCATATGTATCATTTCCATCAGAGAATCTCACCCACCAAAACAGTGACGACGCAATCTTATTTTGAAGCCAAAAGATATAAATATTAATAATTTGCAGATGCACTTTGAAAATAATCTTTGAAATTTCTTCAAAACAACATCATTTTAGGTTACAGCACAATAGCTGATGGAAAAGAGATCTCCAAAACAAATGACATTCACGACCGTTTTAGTTAATTTTTTAGTGGGAAAATAACACAGAATTGGATTTTCACGCAGGATTACAGTGGTCCTAGAAATAAAAAGGTTTTTCAGTTTCTCCTCATTAAGGAAGTGAGACCATATACCTGGGTCAATTTGTTTTTGTTTGTCCTGTCTCTAGTTCCGTCTTGATTATCTTTATATCTCAGAATCCATGACATGGATTTAAAAATCTTTTTTATTTTCTTTGGGTGGTTCTGGGAATTGAACCCAGGGTCTCATGCATGCTAGGCAAATGTTCTACGATGATCTACATCCTCTAGCTCTCCAAGGTTAAATTCAATAGATGCAGTGATCCCACAATACCCAGACTATTCATTTCGCTGTAAAGTGGAAGAAATTCAACCTTTAGTAATAGGAGTTAGTTCTACCTAAAATCACTAATATAACTAATAGAATGTAGTCATCTTCAATAAGATCAATGCCCAGATATTGTTTTTTAAAAATCCAACAACATATGCCAGTTATAACCCCCAACCAAGGCCAAATATCCGGCAATTTCGCAATCTATTTGTCCTCAGAGCTAAAATAAAACAGTACTTCAATGCTTCAACTAGTCTCTCCTATATGTCCTCTTTCTCTCCAAAAGAAAAGGAAGTTTCCTTTTGAAAAGAGTCCCTATAACACTACCTGTTTCTCTTTTCCTTGTCTCTCAATTTTCTGAAGACTTTAAGTAGAAGTCAGGCCTTGACAATAAAATATCCCATCATGTTTCAATATTCTGTTCATCTGAGAAACACAATAGGTTTCCTTGTTATCTTACACATAGATCTAAATTATTACCTGAGAACCAGAATTTACCCCCTTACTTTATAAAAATACTGTTTTTAAAGGTTTACTTAACAGCAGAATCTTTTAAAATCAATATGTAATACTGAAAACTAATATACATATATTCTCATAAGAATTTCATCGTTGGGGGGGGGAATAAAATCTAAACTGTACTGAAGTGTATCTTCTATTGCTTTTTCAGATCTTTTTATATACACTTAAGCACAAATATCCTGTGTCAAATGCTTTAGGGGCAAGGTGTTGTGCTTACCCAAAGATTTAAAAGATTATCAGTTCATAGTATTTATGGAGCAAAGCATATGTGGGTTTAAAAATGATAAAATTGGATGCAAATGTAGGTTACCATACATAACTTAGTGAAAAGATCGTGGTTCATCTTTTGGAGAAGTTGTCTCTAAAACAATCCAATTAATCACAACTTTCCTTTTTCTCTGCAATAATACACCAGTTGCCATGATCATTTCCGGAGCTCAGAATACGGAGCTCGGTCACGTTCTCCTGCAGCAGGTCACAGAGCTCGCCTTCACGAAACACATGGTAGTAGCGCATAAAGGCTCTGGAATCCAAAATGTCAGGCTGTTGTTCTTGGACAGAAATTGTGTCATCTGGATTGGAATCTGTAGAGTCGACGGTAGAAATCCTTCTCAATATTTTACGGGCAGAAGGGTTGCCTTCCTCTAAGCTACCTGCAGTCACATGATTCTCATTGGTATTGGTGCTGTCCATAAGGGTCCCCTCTCCATTTCTCTGCTTTTCTCCTTGATGGTCTCCATTTAAGTGCTTTGAAGTACCTGAAGCTCTCAGCCACTCCAAGTGTTTTTGAGAAGTTTCTACAAACACTTCCTCATCTAAGCTTGATGCTTTCGTTGAAAATGGCTCCTGGTGATCCAAGTCTAAACTGGAATGTCGAGAAGGCTGGATGGATACAGTGCTACTGGCCCAAACTTCTGTGGTTTTCAAGGGTCTCACTTTTTCAATTTGCTTCCGTAGAGTGGACTCATCCAAAGATCTGGAGAAAAACCAGGAACGGAAAGATCTTCCTAATGTGTTATAGATGCCATTTTCTTCCTCCCCTTCCTTTGAAGTGTTTCCGCAACAGGTCCTAGCCATAACAGGTTCATAGTCCACGCTGTGGGACCGTTTGGCATCACCTCGCTCTTTAAAACACATGGAACAGCCATACTCAGGGCAAGGCGGGTGGCAGGGATGGCTTGTTTCTGGATGTCCACACTGCCTCTTTCTCCCGGACTGGCTGGATTCTGACAAGGGCTGGGAACAGAAGGCCCTGTTCCAAGGAACGAGCACATCTTGCTTCTCAAAATGTCGGTTCTTTTGTTCCATTGCCCAAACATAGATCATCATCTGTCCTCCGGGAACTAAAACCCTGGCCATTTCTTTTATTGCTCGGATTCTTCTTTGTTTTGTAGAAAAATGATGTATAACTGAAAAAGAGAAAACTAGATCTCAATGTGTGTAGACACACATAAACACACACACTTAACATACATACGTAATATGTTTGCACATAACAATGATGAAATCTTGACATATAGTAAAACCTCCTTCTTTCCTACATGGGAGGAGAGACGGAAGAAAAAGCATAGGTTTTGGGAGACATAATTTTTGCTTTGGCTTCTGTACATATTAGGCAGCTAATCTTGGGCCAGTTACTTAAGTACAATCGATTTTAAGTTTCTTAAATTGTAACAAGAAACCTAGAATAAATAACCTCTGAGATCCCATTAAAATTCTGTGAATTTTGTTAATCAGAGGGTCAGATCTGAATTACTAAAATTGTAAGGAATACTAAGTTAGGTAAATGTTTTCTGGTAGGATTTTATAAAATGACTCACTGCTTTAATGAATGATTGCACTTCTATAGCAATAAAAAATTAACATCACTAATTATTAGTGTCAATAAAATTAATAAAGCCAACAAAAATCAAGAAAAATGTTAAAGATTGCTTTTCTGTCTAAATAATATCAAAGATACGTCAGCCTACCACAAGTCCAAATGATTACATGTGTTTTAAAATGCTAATATACTATTGTATGTAGTTAAAAAAATAAATTGACAGATTATCATTTTGCTTCCAATCCCTTCAAAATGAACCTCAAGCAAAACTGCCTTTATCTAGGCTTCTTTTTATCCAAAATATGTAGAAAGTGTTAGTGTGTTAGTTCCTGGAGGAATCTAATCACAGTATTGAGTCAAGAGAAAACATCAAATTATTTTTCTGAACACAAGTGCACTACATATCTCAGCGAGGAAAGGAGTCCCAAGCAAAGCTGGGAGAGTCTGGATCCCATATGAGCAGTAAGGGCAGACAGTGGCTAACACCACTGCTCTAAAGCTCACCATAATCTTGCTGTTCGTAGTGATTTTAGGTATATTAATGTCTGCAGTTTACCTGCCACAGAGATATATTAAGTATCTAAAATGAGACTCCTGTGTAGATAAAACCATTAAAGGTAGTTCATGCAAGAGGCAAACTGTATTAATAGCCATCAGATTTTTATTCCAATCAAGAGCATACAAACCCTGCTATCTTTACCACGCAGCAGTGTGAGAAAGCTAGAGGTGTGAGGGTTAGATGTGTTGAAGAACAAGACACCAGCATATTCCAACCTAGATCTATCAAGAGCTAGCCTTGTGATCTTTGACCAAGCACTCTGTCATACTAGGCCTTAGTCTTCTTTTCCCAGTCCTCAGAGAGAGGGCCCTTTATGGACCCTCAAAAGATTCATTTGAAAGCATTTGTTTCTAGAAGTAGTTCTTTGGTCACTGAGCTACAAGGAGGCCTAGGGGTCATGCATTGCTGATGTTTATATCTTATCTACCACTCTTCAGGGCTGTTGACCTCTCCCATAACCTGTGCCTGATGCACTCTAAAATATCTATGGGTACTTTTTTTAAAAAAAATTTAATTTGTTATATATGACAACAGAATCCTTTAAAATTCATATTACACATATAGAGCACAATTTTTCAGATCTCTGGTTGTACACTATGAGTACGTTTCTAAAATAAAACCTATTCTCATTATTCACAGATTCTGTATTTGCAAATTTGCCCACTTGCTAAGATTTATTTGTAACCCCCCAAAATGAACAGTCCCAGACTCTCATGGTCGTTCATTAGCTTGTGCAGAGAAGCAGTTTGAGCCTTTCAAAGAACATGTTCCCAGCTGAGGTGGAACAAAGCAACCTTCTCATTTTAATTTCAACTCTAATACTGTAAACAAGTGCTCTTTTCATGGTCTATTTAGTTCCCTGTTTAAAACAGCCTCCAAGCATAGCACTGTCCTATTGTCTGGGCTCCTAAGCACAGAGGCTGTGACATAATATGGCCCAGGGAGAAAACACAGGAGCTACATGCGCTTCATCCAGGCATAACTGAGAATGCTGTTGGCCTGAGCTTAAAATTAAAGCGAATTTAAACAGAAACACACAAGTTTATGTATCAATTGGTCATTGACAAAGATATATATTGACAAAAATGCTAAGGTCAGCAGCTTGCAGAAATCCCATCCTGTATTCCTTCTGAGGTCACAAATGCCCACAAATTTCCTAATTTTGTGTTCATGGGAACTTTTATAGAACATAATTCATGTGACTAGTGACAATTTATTGTGTTGCTTTACAAAGGCTATCAAAGGAAAAAAAAACAACTAAACTGAATTATTTTATGGTAGACTGATAGGTCTCTGATATTTCAGGATTCCATTCAGCTTCCAAAGAAGTTTTATATTTTAAGAAAGAAAGTCTTTATTGATTTATTGATGAGTAGGTAACAATTCACCTCTAACATATTTTCACCCAGAAAAATCTGAATATTAAACACGTAATAAGTAACAACTTTAAATCAACGTTTTGGAGGAAAAAAAAGGTTAAAAATAAATATTTCTTCATTACATATACAATGAGACACACATGCATATACATAATCTCTTAAGAAGCAATGCAAGTGTATCTGCAATGGGACACAGAATATATCTGAAATATCAATGTCAGGAAACTACATTGAATTTTTAAAAGATGAAAAATGTCCCCCTGTTTATAAATCATGATAAAAATAGCTTAAAGGCTATTTTTTTCTATAGCAATATTTTCCTGCTAAGATGCTAAGAGTCTAGAAAATAGATAGGTTGAATTCAATTAATGGATTCCAGAATCAGGTGAAAAGTGATTACCTTTAAGGTCCTGTCATATCTTGATATTTTTTGATTTACTGTTATTTAATTTTAAGTGTGTGGTGTTTATCTCTCTAAGTATAAAGAAGTTATAGGTTTAACGTAAAACCCTAACCCTACTGACATTTGGGTATAGATAATTCTCTGCTGTGGGGAAGCCCCCTTAGATGATATTAGCACACATTCACCTACCCATTTTAACCATCAAAAATATCTCCAGACATTGCCAAATGTCCTTGAGGGATGGGGGAGAGGAGTAACATAACCCCCATTTGTACCTTTATTTTATTTATATTCGGTGCTGAGAATCTAACCCAGCTCCTTACACATGCTAGGCAAGTGCTGTGCCACTAAGCTATAATCCCAGCCCCAGAATGTTTCTTTTTCTAATGTGTCAGTAACACATGATGAATATATAACTAGGCATGATGCTTATCTCTCATATTATTATTAAGAGATACCAAAAAGTAAAATTTTCATGTAAAGATAAGCAAAAAGTGCCAAATAAAAAATTTTAAATAGGGAAATAGAAACATGTAGACATGAAGAGTCTACTGAAATTTCTCATACTTTTGTTCTAAATGTGAAACATAACTGAAAATGACCATACCCCATTAATTCATAGTTACAGGTTATAGAAATATGTGCTATTTTTCAACCTAAGGGAGCGTCTTAAATTGGAATAGCAATCAGGTATGCTAGTCATTTACAGACTGGGTAAATTATAAACAATACAAATTTATTTGGCTCATGGTTCTGGATGCTGAGAAGTCCAAGATCAAGGGACCAGCATCTGGCAAGATCCTTCTTGCTGCATCATAACACGGTGGGAAGCATCCCACGGCCAGGAAAGAAGAAAAATCTGCCCAACTGATCCTTTCATTTGAGGTCAATTTCTGTGATAAGGAAACCACTCCCACCATACTACCCTTAATACAGTCACAAGGGGCATGCCCTCTTAAACTCGTAAAGGTCCCACCTCTTAATATTATTATGATGGCAACTAAATTTCAACATGGGTTTTAGAGGGGGCATCCAAATCATAGCATCAGGTACACTCCATTTTCTCTGAGGAAAACAGAGGATCACCCAGATTCACAAGGAACATTTACTCAAAGTCAAAAAGCTGGTCAATATTCTCTTCCTCAGCAATGGCTCCATGGCACAGCCTGAATGTAGATATCCTCAATGGTCCTAAAACTAAGGCAAATGAAAGAACAAAGAGAACTCCCTCTGATCTCTAGTTCTCTCGGTGGAATGACTAAGCCATAAACTTTTCCCACAAAAGATTCAAAACATTGCCTAATGTTGCTTCGTTCAGCAAGAATCTTAGTTATGTTTATGTTCCCCTAAGATTCACGTCCAAGTCCTACCCCCAGCGTGATGGTGTTAGGAGGCAGGAGTTCTGGGAAGTAATTATACTTAGAAGAGGACACAAGGGAGGGTCCCCATGATCAGCATAGTGCCATCATATGAAAGGACCTTGTGAAGACATCGCAATAAGGTGGAAGACAGCAGCCATCTATTAGCCAGGAAGGGAGCCTTCGACAGAATTCGACTCTGTTGGTACCTGATTGATCTGACTCTCATCCTTTAGAATTGTGAGAAATAAGTGGGTGTTGTTCAAGCCCTCCAGTCTGCGATATTTTGTTACGGCAGCCTGAACAGACTAATTCTTACAACCAAATGGACTAAACAGTTTCAAGTGCAGAGAAGTAAGACATCACAGAGCAGGTTCCCATGGCAACCACCTCTTGTCAGTTCTCATCAGTTCCAAGGTTATGGTATCTGGGCTGGCATCCCTAATTGTGCGTAGTAATGGAGTTGAATCAACCAAATCCTCATGTATTTCAGGAAAGAGAAAACAGTCTTATTCTGTATTTCTTCATGAATAGTAGTAGTCAGTTTTATGTAAGTTCATTTTGCTTTGATAAAGCTTGTTATATTCAAATAGATTAATTTTTAAGTGTTTGGAGCAAGTAATTGACTCTGAAAAAGATTTCCCATTGCAAAAGAGCATATCACGTGATTCCCTTAAATACAAGGTTTCCTAGCACATTTATACATGACTAACATATTAGGTATCAGGAATATATTTCAAGCACCTTTTTTCTTTTTTTGGTATATGTGTTTTCTGGGCATATTTGTTGGAAAAATATGAGGAATTCATTCCCTACACTCATAAACAATCTCTGGCATTAAGGAACAGAATAGCATCTGGGACCAGGTGGAACCCGTCTTCTCCAGGAACTTGAGTACCAGGGAATGGCAGTTGATCTTGATAACATTTGGTTTTATTAGTCTTAGAATTATGTTAATAAAGGGCACTACTGTAGCCTGAAAAAGCCAATATGATGCCCCCAAATCTACTTCATGTTGGAGGAGCCTGGCTTCATTTCAATAGAACAAAGTACCATTTTCAATGAGCAAGATTTCTCTAATATTTCCTTATTCATCAGTGAAAGAAATGGGAATTAATTACCAAAAAGAATAGAATAACAGCTTAAAGGTTTAAATAGTTATAACAACATATGTACCATAAATGTATTTGAGGTTAGCCAAATAACTGAAGCAGCTGAAATATTTTTTAAAAATTAGATAAATTGGATTACATAGACCACTCTATATACAGAAAAAAATGTTGAGTCATGAGAGTAGCTTCAACCATGTAAGTTATTCTCATGGCAAAATATGAACATGTGACCCTGCTGCCTTACCTCCTATGGAGATGATGGCATCGAAGCCCTGATCCCTAAAGGGGAGATTAAGGTTGTCACATACCATGACTTCACATCCTCTACTCCGGGCAATCTCTACCAATGGTCCACAGTAGTCACAGCCCAGGGTATGTACCTGGCTGTTTACTTTAAGATACTTTCCAGTTCCACAGCCTATAAAAGAAAAGCCTGTGTTATATGCAATCTTTAATAGAGAGTGAGGAAAATAATTTTTCTCACATCAATATGAAGTTTACATTAAATCACCAAGGTAGAATATGAGTGTGAAGGTATTCACGGAGGCAAAGGAAGAGGCTTCAGAGAGCACTCACATATTTTCATATAGAAGAGAAAAGAGAAATGGAATGGAAAAGAAATATTTCTTGAATAGTCACTGAGTTCATGCCCTTAGGTCTGACTGAGCACACTTGCACAACTAGACGTGTTAGCTAGCCCATTGCTGGGAATGACAGTTTCAGCAACCTGAACGAGGGACAGACTGGGTACAGTCTCTATCTTAACGTGTATTCCCACTGTGCATGTGTGTATATTATAGCATTTGTTCTCCTGATGCTTCTCCAAAGATTCTTATCATTTGCCCACTAGGTTCAACTACTGCCAGCAACTTTCAGTAGCTATAAATAAAAGAATCTACACAATAAAACGCCCTCTTAAAAATTCTTAAATCTGAAAGGGGTGTTGTAGCTTAGAGGTAGCGTGCTTGCCTCGCATATGTGAGAAATAAGTGTGTGTTGTTCAAGCCATCCAGCGGCACCACATAAAAATAAATAAATAAATAAAATAAAAGCATTGTGTCTATCCACAACTAAAAAATATTAAAAAAAAGATGGCTCACGTGGACTTCTTAAAATTTTTTAAAAAATCTAAAATGAATGAAAAAAAGAATTGTTAACATCATTTCATTCAATTATTATATTATTGCCATTACTTATCTATCACTAGTCAAAGCTGCTGGTTTGCAGCTTCGGTAATACGTCATGACACTCCTTATTAACTCCTCCTTAATAGGTGCTTTCCAAACTTCTAAAAAAAAATAAAAACCAATTTAAAGTCCTCTGATGCCAGATGAGACAGTGGAGAGCATATGGATAAATATAACATTTGCAACATTATTATCTCAATGAGAATGACTGAGGTCTTAGAAACGTTAGATCTCATAGCCTCTGTTCCTAATGCTTATGAGAAAAAGCCCCATTGTTTGAAGGTAATCATGGGGAAAATATATTTCACAATGTATCTTAAAATTGAAATCCTGTATATTTCAAAGATGATAGTTATACTTAAAAAAATCTTGCAAATTCATTTGCTTATTTATTGGCTTGAAAGATACATTTGGAAAAATGAAAGAGAAAATCACCTTAAAGATATTAATAAAAATAGGTTAATAAACCATTACTGCTGAAAGGAACTATTCAGAAAACATTGAGTAAAAAAGAAGAAACTGAGGTATTTTCAAATTTAAACAGTGTCTGATACCTTTCCAATGTCCTGGCATCCTTGATTTATCCCATATTCATTTCTAATGACATTAGATTTATTCCATATTCATTTCTAATGACATTCACTTCAAAAGGTAGTAGTGGAACTTCAAAATATGATGCAATTATCCATATTCTAAGTGCATACACTGAGATGCTAGTGAGGGGAAGATTCCATCCTCACAAGGAAATCAAGAATATTGCCAGGCTAAATTGTTCCATTATTTTCAATGTAAATCAGAAGCTGAATACTGCAGCATGCTTTGCTTCAGTCCACAATAATCACGCTCCTTTACAAAATCTCATTAAGTGATAACCTTGCATAGTACTAAAGAGAGATACCAGGAAGTGTCTGCATGCTTACAGTCTCCAGGATTTTGTATTCTGCACCACACTATGGCTAAAGGAGAGAACAGATAATTGCCTCAATTCAACAAAATGTTTGGGTCCAGTATGGGCAAATATTTGCTGATATACTAATACAAACATTCTCTCCAAAGTTTTGAAAAAGAATCACATTTTTTAAAATTGGGAGTTCTTGACTAAAATCTTCTCTGAAAGAGAATTCTCTTTTCCTATGACAAAACAGGCAAATACTATATGCATTTTATACACAAATTTTAAGTCCAGAAATGAGGAAATGTTTTATTCTATTAGGCATGGTGTCTGCTGTATGGGATTTAGTCAGTCAAAAATGACTATTGATACTGAAAATAAATACTTTGAGATTTAAGAGGCAAATGGAATCCTAATTACTGACAAGTTAATTTTTATGTACACAAAAAACATTTTTAAGGGGCTGGGGTTGTGGCTCAGTGGCAGAGCACTTGCCTAGCATGTGTGAGGCACTGGGTTCCATCCTCAGCACCACATATAAATAAATAAAGAATAAAGGTACATCAACAAGTAAAAAAATATTAATTTCTTTTTAAGATTTTAAGATACTTTTCTTTGGGGTCAAGGAAAAAAAAGGGAATTTTGTTAAAAAAAAAAAATCCAGCTCTGGACTTTCTCCTACTTTCTAAATTCATGCAAGTGAAGATTTCAAAGCACACAATGCCCTCCATGTCTGATGCACTTAAAATCGACTGGGGTGGGGGAGTGTTAGGGAAGAATAGAGGTACTTTGGATTAGACAGAGGGGAGTGAAGGGAGGGGAAGGGATACCGGTAGGAAGGATAGTAGAACAAATTGGACATTATTACCCTATGCACATGTATGATTACACGACCAGTGTAATTCTACATCATGTACAACTAGAAGAATGAGAAATTATACTCCATTTATGTATGATGTGTTTCAGGTCAAGGTATTGCCATAATTGCCCGGGTCACAGTATTGCCTGAAAGTACTGTGGTATTCCTGCTCTTTGAAGTTGTTTTTAGTTAGGCCACTTTTCCTGCTCCTTTACTCCCTGATTCTGAGATTTAGCTTCCCTCTGGGAATGCCTGCCACACACTTCAGCCAATCAGCTTGGCTAGCGAACGGGGTGATGCGGTGAATAACATTTCAGTTAACTAAAAGCTTCCCACTAAACTTCGAAACTGCCTAGACATTTCCAGTCTGGGAACTGGAACCTGGTTACTGCTGAATTTTTTTTTTTTTTTACTACCATGTTTGACTAGTTTTAACTCATTATAATTAATTATAAATTGCTAATGTAAAAACCAGTCAAATTAAACAGCATAACAGTCGGTTTTGGCAACATAAAAAACCTAGAAATCAACTTTCCTTATGAAGATAGTCATATTATAATCAGCTTGTCTTTTCTTCTGCTCATCCCTTTGGACTTCTTTCTTTCATTTTCTTCTATTTCTTCCTTAACTTTATTTTTATAATATATCCTTCCTTTTGTCATCAAAACATTACTGCTTATTGACTAGTTTAAAAGTGTGAATTATACAAAATTCAAAACATATGTACAAACGGGCAGAGAAATATTTGTTACCCATCCAATTGTTGGTTCCCATTGAAGTGTTCAAAGAATATTATTTGCTCATAATTTGTAGCAGTAAAGTATATCAAATAACATATTGTTTGTTAATTTGTATATAAAATAACATATTGTTTGTTAACTTGTCACTATTAGTATAAAATGCTATGTAGATTTAAATCTTACACAACTCTACAAATGCCCAACCAAACACATTCCTAGAGGCACAAAGATACTTATATTTACATAACCTATCCCAAGGTACATAAGAAGCTAAGAGCATGGGTTTATTTGGTACCAGGGACTGGGATGATGATGTTTTGCACCCTTATGTGTCTTTGTTGCTGAACCTTGTCAATGGATTGCCTATCAAAATATCTTTAAGCAGTTTGTAAATAGCAACTGAAAAAAAAAAAGATTTGTTTATATCCTTTTCCCATTTTCTTTTGGTTGTCATTTTTGTGTGTGTGTGTGGGGGGGGGGGGGATACCAGGGATTGAATTCAGGAGCACTAGGCCACTGAGTCACAACACCAGCCCTATTTTGTATTTTATTTAGAGACAGGGTCTCACTGAGTTGCTTAGTGCCTCGCTGTTGCTGAGGCTGGCTTTGAACTGGAGATCCTCCTGCCTCAGCCTCCTAAACTGCTGGGATTAAAGATGTGTGCCACTGTGCCCAGCTTGGTTGTCATTTTTCTTCCCCTTTTTGAAATTATTATTTTTTTTTGGTCTAACTGAAACTCTGTACCCTTTAACCAAAAACTTCCCATTTCCCTCCCCTCCCTCCCCAGCCCTGCCCCAGCCCTTAGTAACCACTATTCTATTCTCTGCTTTGCAAGTTCATCTTTTTAAAGTTGTTGCATGTAAGTGAAGTCATGCAGTATTTTCCTTCTATGCCCTGCTTATTTCACTGAACATAACATCCTCCAGGTTAACCCTACTATAACAAATGATAGGATGTTGGGCCTTTTTTAATATTGACTTAAAAATGTCCTGGAGATTAAGAAAATAATGTATTTTTTTTCTATCAGATGTGTTGCAGATACTTCAGGGTTTTTTTTGTCTTTTGACTTCATTTATATATTTATCTAGATTTTTGTCTTACAGTATTTTTTAGTTTCCACGGGAGTGAAAGTTATCAATACAGTTGATCTTTGTTCCTAATAGATTCATCTTTGCTTATTCTTTTGTATGTTAAAATTTACTTGTAACCCTAAAGTCTGAGCACTTGCGTGGTCGCTCTCAGACATGGGCGTTGACACAGCAGCCCAAACATTGACCTGCCCAAGATCCTTGTATCGGGCCTTCCTGTTTCAGCTCTCCTGCTGTTGCCAGGGGAGATCTAAGTGGAGCTGCGTTGATCCCAGGCACTTAGAATGGCGTTGGGAGAACTTGTTAAGCCAGGTTTCAGACACAACTGCAGCTGATCTTTGAACGGAGCTGTCTACACCACCCCAGGACATACTGTTCTTGTTAACTGGGCCAAAATGCAATTTTCTGGAATGAAATTCACCAGTCTTTGCAACAGTTTGTGAGACTCCTCTTCCCCCTTAAAACTGTCCAGAGACTGAGAATGTGCCTATTTCCTTTCTTATAATCATAATTCCTGACAAACAAGTGGTGTAATTAGCAACCTGCCTTGCTATTTATGCTATAAAAGCGGGCATCTTCTTGCAAAACCTAAGAGCACAGTTTCATGGCTACTTAAATTCAGTGTCTCCTGGATTCTAATCCTAATAAGTCCCAAAATACATGTAATTATCCTTTGTTCTTGACTAGATTGATTTTTATCTCGGTCAACACTATAAATAAGTTTTCTTTCCATAATCTATCGAGTGCCATGTTTTTTGCATTTTTGTGATTATTTTGTTGGTGATCTTTCTTTTCAAAAGGCCCCCCAATAGTCTAGTCTTTCAGAACAGAAGAAGGCTGTAAGGTCTCTTAGGAACAAAATATGGAAATGATAAGCTTTGTTCAAGTATGAGTTGTAATGTGCTGTTGTGAGTTCAGTGTTAATGAATCAACAATAGATAGTAAGTAAGATGCCTTTAAACAGGAACTCAAGGTTATGCATTGATACACTGACAAAAATGTTGTGACCAAAGTCTTACAGGAACCCTTCCTATAATTCTTCTCAGAAAATGTTTCAGTATTCACTAATTCTGTATTTATGAGAACTTCGTAAAACATGAATACCACGAATAATGACAATTCTATTTTATAATTTTAGGTGTGTGTGCATATGTGTTATATGCAGAGAGGCCATTTGCTTTGGAAAATATTTTTAAATAAACTAATCATCATCTAGTCCTTCAATGATTTCATTTTCTTGTATCTTTGCTTCATGTGGAACTTATTTTGGTGAAAGCTATAAGAAAGTAACTCTCTTATTATATGTACAATTGTGCCAAAGCCATTTATTGAATACCCACTCCCCCATTAATTTTAAGGTCTTGGTACTTTGCTTAGACTGTGGGTAGTAGGAGTTTCAGAATCACTGCATCTTCTGAAATCTTTTTCCCCCTTATGAGGTGCTGGGGACTGAAGCCAAAATTTCATGCATGCAGAGCACATACTCCACACTGAATTCCATCCCCAACCTCTGAAATCAGATTTATTTTTTAAAATTGACATTACAGTGGTATTTTTCAAAGACTCTTAATTTCAATGTGACATGCTCCTCTTCCAAAAATTCCACACTGTTTATAACCATATAACAAGCCAGGAACTGTGGACATTTATGTGTTTCTCTTACCCTTATTGAGTGGGTCAATTAGACTGAGAGATTGTAACTGCAGACTTAACGATTCTTACGGGCACAATCAACGGTGTAATTGCTAGAAAGCAGTTTTAGATAGGCATGCCTCAGTGGGAAACCAACCCCATGTTAATTTTAGTCTTAGATCTACTGAGCTGTGGTTTATCACTTCTTGATTCAGAAAGATACAGCGCTAAAGTCTTCCAGACAAATCAGTGATTATGAAAATGTTATCCATTTAAAGCTACGCTCTAATAACAAAATAACTACACAATAAAAGAGAAGAGGAACCATGAGATTAATAAAAGGATGTAAGACCTCTTCCATAGCCCCACGATTCTGGCTCTTTTACCCAAGGTGAGTCTCCACTGTAAAACACATTTTATAAATATGACCGTCACTACATATGAAATTATCATTGTCACTATCGTTTCTATCTTATTCATTCAATTGATTAGGTCAGCTTTGGTGGAGAATGTGCAAAGATGGACCCTATCTAAATGCAGGCTTGAAGCTGTGCTCTATCTTCTTTGTGACTTGATGGTATGCATTTCTGCTATAAAAAGAGAATATTCTAGGAACGGGCAGGCCAAGGGCACCATTTCAGGGTTCTTGTTACAATAAAAATGAAAAATGAATCTGAAAAGAACAGGCGTGATGGAATCTACGTCAAGCTAGGGGGCACAAGCCTGGATTACCGATGTCAGCGACGAGGCTGCCTGGCTTCTGCTCCTGGAGGAACTGGCGAACTCGGGGCCAGGCTTTGCTCTGCAGGTCGCTGAAGAAGGGGGCCGTGTTCTCATAGACATCATGCACGTGCTGCTTCTCCAGCAGGGCAGCTTCATGATCCATCCTGGGGAAAGCAGGACCCACCCAAAGCAAGCAGGTCAGAGAACGCACCAGAGGCGGCTGAGGGAGGTGCAGACTTCCTGAACTCGGGACCTACAACTGCAAAAGTGGTAGGGTTCTTATGCTTTCTCGGTGCTGCAAGGAAACTTTCATGTAACCGCACGGTTGACAAAAGATTAGCAAAGTATGCATCTGCTAATCTTCAGAAAAGAATGGTTGGGGAATGAGCTAATCCTTGTAAGTTCCTGTGCAAGATGAATTCTTCAATTTTGGAAGCATAGGCACATTCTTACCAAATGGTTCACTTCCGATAAGATCATTCTATCTGAGGCTAAATAGATTTTTAACGTTTTATAACAAGTAGTTCTTCACTCCAATCAAGAAGCCCTAGGAATTTTACCTTTTTAAATGTCTTTGGATTTCAGCCATTTTTTCCACATCCGTTACTGCTTCTGTTTTAAATAAGGTGCTGATTTCTTGCCTGAATTACTTCAACAGTCTGCAAATGCATTTTCTAACTCTTCAATGCTTTTCCCTCAATTATGCCTTAACTATTTTTTTTCTGAAATCTAGATCTCATTGAGTTGCTTACAATGCTGCCACTTCTCCAAAGGCATTTTATAGTTGTCCAGTTGAGTACAGTTGGTGTAGGAGGTCATGCAGAGCCTTTCTGATCTGTCCTCAACTTATTTCTTAGGATTCATTTCTCACATCCTCCCCCAGTATCAAAGAGCTTGGAACACCCAATGATCCATGGTTTCTCATAAGTGATACATTCCCTGACATCCAGGGCCCTGAATAGATACTGTGCTTCATGCGGCTGACTTCTATTCATTTTGGCATAAGCACCACTTCCTTCAAGAAGGCTTCCCTGACCTTCCTTGTGAGACGAGGTCAATTAGAAAGGAATGAGAATGGTACAAGGGCAGGTCCTGGAGGTCCCAGCTGCTTAGCACTTAATCCTTTATTCTAGTGTGACATATGAGTGAGGGGGCAGCCCAGGGACAAGGCCAAGGATTTGGTGGCTTTTACCCATCAGCATTAAAGTATTTTCAATAATTAAAAAACCCATTTGTCCCTACTTGTGCCTAACAGCTAGCTCAGCACCTTCCCTTGGACAATTGCCTCTATGGTATATCTATATGTGTCACGAAGTTCTGTCATAGTTGTATTTAGATATGTAGCTCTACCATTAGCTGGAAGGCCCTAAAGGGCAGGGACTTGTCTTATATAATGCTGAATCTTTAGCACTTAGGCAAAGCAGGCCCCCAACAAATGTCACACAGGAGAGTGAGGCAAAGGCGGGGACCCTCCACTTCCCAGAGTGCTTGTTCAGTGTGACAAAAGGAAAGTATTGTCCCTGGATAGCTTCTGTCCTCTCTTCCCTACCTCCAGCCTGTGAAGTGGGAGGCACTTGGGTAAAATGGCATCTACCAGGTCATGTCACTGTAAAGTACCTTTTATAAATTTAACAAATATCTGGTGGAGAGATACTTTGTGACTCCCACACATTCTGTTTTTCATATGTTCATCTCCCGTTTAAGCATCCACTGTTGATTCTTGCACAAAACAATCATTCCCACCAGGATCACCAAATTCCCATGTACCTAATTCCATCATTCCTTCTACTGCAAAAAAAGAGAGAGAGAGAGAGAGAGATATTGATTGATTTGGGGGGGATTTACTCTTTAGAAGCAATAGGCTGTCTTTTATCTTGGTGGGCCTGCCCACAGTCCCTTCAAAACGCCCTACCAGACTGCTAAACCATATAAATCTAATCTGTGAGGCCTGACAAAACTTCCACGCAAATTGAAAGATTTTTATGTGGCACCTTCAAATGGAATTTACAAAGTAAATATATGGCTGGCTTTAACTGCTCACATAGGAGAAGTATCCAAACACTGCATGCTTTTCTTTTAAATCAAAAATCTCAATAGATTGAAGTCTATTTAAATTCTTCCCTCAAGAAATCAACCAGATGGTATAATTTGGAGAACCCTGAAAAAAATACATTTAATTTTATTGTACTTGCAAATGTTAAGTGACAACTGACATAAACTTGATTCCTTCCAATTTGCATTTAAGAAATAGTTCCAATTTAAGCTCAGAATGTGTAGTATCAGAACAGCACTACTTGGAGACATTTCTCTTAATTCTCCCCCAAGTTGCCTGGCCTTGACTATAAGTAACCTTGAGACTGCTGTTCTTAAATGAGTTGGCAATATGAATCCATTTCATTTTTATTATATTTTATAGTTAAGTTTAAATGCTGCAGAATAAATTGCTGACCATGAATACTGATTTATATAGTCGGGGCTGTCCAAAATGCTATTTCTAAAACTCTCTGGATTTAAATTTCCTATAATATATATTTTTTTTGGTAGTTGGACACAATACCTTTATTTATTTAATTATTTATTTAATGTGTTGCTGAGGATCAAATCCAGTGCCTCACACATGCTAAGGCGAGTGCTCTACCACTGAGCCCAAGCCCCAGCTCCTCCTATAAAATTTTCTATGTGAATGTTATATATACTATAAAAGCAAATTCCTTGTGAATTTGATAGCATGAGTAAGATAATAGTAAAATAGTAGTAAAATAAAAGTGACAGGTACTGTGACACATGCCTGTAATCCCAGTGACTGAAGAGGCTAAGATAGGAGGATCGAAAGTTATAGGCCAGTCTCAGCAACTTAGTGAGACCCTAAGCAATTTAGCAAGGTCCTGTCTCAAAATAAAACATAAAATGGTAGGGGATGTAGCTCAGTGGTAAAGCATCCCTGGGTTCTATCCCTAGTACCAAAATAAATAGATAAATAACGAAAAGAAAAGGAAAAAAAAAGAGCACAGGATTCCAGTTGAAGCAAGAATATGGAATCAGTTCAGTCAAGTTTCCCAACCTGTGTACTACCAAATTCCAGAGCAATAAAATGTTCCAGATGAAGGGGTCAAGAGTCAAAGCCCCAGATTTTTGCCCCTTCTTTGATATCCAAAATGTACACTACCATACTATAGGTTTGAGAAACCTACTAAAGTGTCCCAATTGATTTTTTTTTTTTAAATTTGGTTTTCTCAAAATCATTGTGCCTATAATGCTTTTTTCTTTCTTTAAATATCTCTTGTCTTCTTATAGAACTATATTCTGCAGGTGACATTTTGGGAAATGTTACTTTAATGTTTTCCAATTTAAGAGTATCCCCAGAACAAAGGGAACTATATTCCCTGGGGTCTCCTTCAACATTCATGTAATTTTAAGTGAAGAGTCAGAAGGAAGCCTAGCAGTTGCTCATCACCGTATATCTGAGAGAAGCTGCTTCTGGAGCACATGCTAGATGCTAGCTATGCTGGCTGGACCCACACTGAAAACTGGATCCACAGGGAGACAATTCATGGGTGAGTCTGGTCCAGCCTTAAGGAGCTGAACTAAGGACCTGCATAGTCAGATGCCTGCAGGTGGTTGGATGTGGTCACTTGGAGCCTGTGTTTGGGAATCTATTTTAAACCATGCACATGTAGATGAATCAGGAGAAAACGGATCTGAAAAATAAATGTAGCTATAGTGAGAAAAGCAGGACACAGTCTTTTTATAAAGATTGTGGAGAGGAGAAAGGGAAACTGAGAGGGATAACCGATATCTGATCTTCTTGTTTATTTTTTATGTTTTTTGGTTCCAGGGGTTGAACCCAGGGGCACTCAACCACTAGGCCACATCCCCAACCTTCTTTTTTTTTTTTTGTATTTTATTTAGAGACAGGGTGTCACTGAGTTGCTTAGGCCCTCACTAAGTTGCTGAGGCTGGCTTTGAACTTGTGACACTCCCCCCACCCCCAGCCTCTAGATCAGCTGGGTTACAGGCATGCTCCACTGTGCCTGGCTTATCTGATCTTAGTGTTTTAGTTCCTGTGTGGGGTCTAGGCAGCAGCTCAGGGTAACTCAACTCCAAGAAACCTGTTGATTTTATAGGTCTGGGCTTGCTTTTGATGTACTTCACTCCCTAACTTTGACTCTCCATCACATCCCATTTTAGCTGTAAAATATTCTTCACTTCAGCTTATTTCTGTTTCTTATAACTATATCTTTCCTATGCAGGTACACTGTTTTTAATTAAAGAACATTTCAAAACACTGAAAAGTAAAATATGATTTTACACTTCAAATAATTAGTGTTCTGGATGCTGTCATGTATTGTTACAATATCTTACCTTCATTGCTACTATTCAAGCAGTCTTGTAAAGCTTACAATGGAACCCTGAAACAAACAAACAAACAAACAAACAAAAAATAGAACGCTAACAGTTAAAAGAAATCGTAAACATTAGAACAAAACCAATAAGTAAGGGTTAGAGATGTGACTCAGTGTTGGAGCACTTGCCTGGCATGCACAAGGCCCTGGATTCAATCCCCAACACTAGAAAACAAACAGCAACAACAAAACACCATAAGCAAAACTGAGAACAGAAAGTAGTAACTAATTTTGCCAGGAAGCTGATGGAAGCACACAAGAACCCCTTGAGTATTAAATCAACTCTGCTGTCCCTCCCCTTCCCTGACAAACTCTGATTGCCCTCCCTAGGTCTCGGACTGGTATTCAGGAACACGCTGCTTTTAGCTACTTCTTAATACTTCCTATACTTGTTCATGACCTATCAATCATTTGCAAATCTTTCTTATTCTGACTCTAAAAAAAGCCCAGTCTGTGCTTTCCCTTCCTGTTTGCTTCTATTGCAGGCATCCTGCTGACGCTTCGGAGTTCAAGTTCTTTTTGTTTTCTTAATCTCTGAAGTCATTTAAAAGATTTTTTCCCCCTAATTATCAGAGAAAGCCTAAATGTACTAGATTCTGATTAGTGTCTGCCAGAGCTTGAGATAGAGGGTCGGAACTGACTGCAAAGGGGAATGAGGATATTTTTCAGGGTGACAGAAATAGTCCATGTTTTGATTGTAGTGTTGGTTATGCAACTTTTATTGTTGTGGTTTTCTTGCAGTGCTGAGGCTGGAACTCAGGGCCTGTGCATGCTAGACAACCTTGCTACCACTGAGCTATACCTCTAGGCTTGGTTTCGTTAATTTTTGGTATAACCTATGTTACAACATAGGGAAAAGTAAACTTTAAAAGTATGAATTTTGACTGGAAGTAAATTACACAGATGTTAACGAACCACCAAACATCTGAGATTTTATCCTGCAAGTTTCTTGGATGCTGGAAGAAGGCACAAGACTCCAAGGTCATGGACAAAGGTTGTTATTTTTCAAAGCACAGCACACAGCATGAGCTGAGGTTTGCAATGTTTCCCCTTGGCCTCAAGTCTCATGCAGATAGATGATGCCGAGGCAGAAAATCTACAACCAGTGAGTTTGCATTACAGATGAGGAATCTCCAACTTCAGGGCAGCTCAATCTGACAAGGGGGCTCCTAGTCAACCTACATTACTCTTGCCCTGAAGAGAGACATTTTATTATCAGAGAGAAAAAAAAAAGGCTAAATCTGCTCTCTGCCTAAAGGAGACATGTTGGGTTAAACATTAGTCAGTGCCTTAGGAAAGCTTGCAGTGAGATAAGAAAGACTCTAAAGAATGTATAACAAAGGAAATGGAGGAGGGAAGTTGGTCACTTCCCTTGTCTCTAATCCTTAGGTGAGGATCAAAGCAGAGCAACCTTGGTTGTAAAGTAAAAGAATGTTCTCATTAAGAAAAACATCTGAAGGAATCCACCTGTGCAGTTGGCATGCAACCTATCATATATATTCTTCCTGCTTGTGGGTGTGATGTGGCCCTCCATTGCATCCTAATCTGCTGCCACCAAGAAGCAGGAGAGTAATAAAATGTCCAAACCCTCTTCCTTGAATCTTCCAAGTTCTTTTTGAGGATCAGTGAATCGTACATTGGGGCATTTGCAGCCCTGTGGCTGAATTTCAAGCCCATTAGCTATCCAACCATCCTTGAAAAGATAGTCTAGAACAAAAGTTGATACACACATGCAGAAATGAGAGCAAAACGTGGAGAATTGTCTCCCAACAATAAACCTGCTGTGTGTGTGTGTGTGTGTGTGTGTGTGTGTGTGTGTGTGTGTTTTGGGAGGTTGGGAACAAGAAGAGAGAGAAGAGAGGAGACAGACAGACAAAGGGAGTGAAGGATAAGAAAGGTTAAGCATGTAAAGATAAGTGAACTAGTTTCATTGCCCAAAGGTTAAAACATACTTGGGGAAAGAAGGCTCCTGTAGCTGACGCCGCAAGAGAAGGGAAGATCATGTGAAAGGTAGGGATTCGTCATATAAAGTACAGCCCTGAAAATCAGAACTAACTTGGATTTTATTCGAAGTGAAATGGCAGGAAGCTTTATGTTGCAGGCATGGGGAGAGGAAGCATGAATGGATTTATAATTTTAGAAGACCCCTAGAGGTTTATCCAACTCAGTAAACTAGAATAGCTGTTGTTTTTTATTTGTCCAATTCTGTTCATCATCAACCTTCTTCTGATCATTTGTATCTTGCCCTCCCTGGATGAGCATATGACCCAGGCCTGGCCATTCTTGGTATCCCATATCCTGGGCCACAGGCCTTGGTCAGAAGTGGGCTGGTGATGAAAGGCGAGCCTAGCACTGTGGCTGTCTAAGATATCTCAGTATGGGGCTAATAAGAAATGGTGCTGCCTTTGGCATCACAGAACTGAAGGATGTAAAGATTAAGGTGTTGGCAGCATGTTTTGTACTGTACAGAAAAGACCTGTCTTTAGGTAGAGAGGGTGAAGTCAGGTAAAACAATCTGAGAGGAAAGATAAATGAGAAGAATGAGTCATGGCAGCATGGATTTCTTGTTCAAGTCTCTGAGGTTTGGCTTCTGAGGATTACACCTTACCTTTTTCAACACACAGAGTCCATAATTTCCGCTATGCTTAATATTGTAGAATTTCTGACCTTACCATCAGAAGAGTCCACCCTAATTCAGCAGACTTTTTACACCAGGGGTTTTGTTTTACTTGCAGTCTTTACTTCTTGGAGGATGGAAGAGCGGGGAGAAAGGAACAGGAAGTTGACAGGAGGGGGAAATGGTTTAATATATTTCCCAATGAATGCAGAGTCAGAAGGACATGAACAATTCCTGCTTCTAGCATCAGGATCCCATTGGGAAGTCCCAGTGTTCGGATTTCCTTTTTTGGATATGTGATTAGGATAACATTCGCCCACTTGAATTCAGGCAAAGCCATGGGACTTGCTGAGAGTATTAAACATGATTAGCTGCTTGGCAGCAGCTGCACAGGCCAGTGTGTGGCTTGCTAAATTCGCTTTCCCTGCTCTCTGCAAGGAAAGTTTTCTTGTCATGGAAGGTTAGGTCTCCAGAGGCATTTTAGGCTTTTCAAAAAAAAAGAAGAAGAAGAAACAAAGAAAGGAATGAATAGCTTAGCTCATTGTAAGAAATGCTAACTATCTAAATAATGAAAATGTCCTATTAGAAAGTAACTTACTATGAGCTGGGGTTGTAGCTCAGTGGTAGAGTGCTCTTTTCACACGTGGGAGGCACTGGGTTCGATCCTCAGCACTACATAAACATAAAATAAAGATATTGTGTCCATCTACAACTCAAAAAAATTTAAAAAAGTAACTTGCTACTAATTTTTTCTTGATGAATCTTTCCTATCTCATGTAGATGTATTATTAAAAAATTAGAAAACTGGATACAGTTTCATATCGTATTTTAAAAATTTAATTTAATGTTGTGAACAAAGTAGTAATTTTTACCTATGATATTCTCCAATCTTAGAAGATTTAATGCCTAAATTCTATAGGACTTGAAATGTTTTGCAAAGTTATCATATACTATTGAAGACTTGGGTACTTCTATCATAGAAAATTAGGTACTTTTACTGGATTCTTAATTTTAAAAGAAGAAACATTTCCTTCTATGTTTATTTAGCCCCCAGTATCTAGCACTAGACTTATAGGTATTGTGGAGAAAAGAGATACCCTCTACACGCCTTAGTTTTTAGAGCTCTTTGATTGAAATCTAGGAACACAATTAATATAAGAGCTGATTAATAAAAGAAAGCATAAAAGGGACTGGGATTGTTGCTCAGTGGTTACAGCGCTTGCCTAGCATGTATGAGGCCCTGGGTTTGGATCCTCAGCACCACATATGAATAAACAAATAAAATTTAAAAAAATCCATTGGCAACTAAAAGATATTAAAAAAAAAGAAAGCATAAAAGTTTTATTAATTTTGCATGTACGTGGGGATCTTCACGAGCTAGTGAAGTCTGAAGAAATGACTAAAGCATGGCACTTTTAATGCTTTTTAGACAAAAAGTAGTAAGTTTGGAAAGAATGAAAGGACAGATGGATCTGGGTAAGGGTAGCTACATGGTGGGCACGGACATAAAAGCAAGTGCAAGATGAGGGCAACTTTTGCTTATTCAGGTTCACTGCAGCCCCAGTTATGAGTCTATGGTGATCGGGGTGAATTCTCAACCTTGTATGTGAAGGACATCCGTCCCACAAGAATCTTCATGGCTTGCTGCCCGTAGTAATATACAGGTCAAATGGCCCATTCTGAAGTTATAGTTCCTCAGGTGTTTTCGCTTGACACAATCAATATATCAATCTGACACATTTTGAAATGACATGTCCTTTGCTTCTCAGACTAAATATGTTTAATGAGTAGATGAAGAATGAAACTCCAGCCAAGTGAGCAATATCTCTGTTTTTATTTTTAAATTTAATTTTTATTTTTTTATTTATTTTTAAATACTTTTATTTAGGTATAATTGACACATGACAACCTGCACATATTTAAAGTGTATAGTTTGATAAGTTCTGACATATGTATACACCCAGGAAGCCAGCAAGGCATGATGATGAATCCATCACCCTAAAGTTTCCTTATGTCCCTGTGTAAGACATCCCCTCCCATCAGTCCCCACCTTGAATGATCTCCCTGAATGCTATGTTTCTGGAATGGAAAGAGTGACAGAAAGGGTGAACATTGAGGTGTATATCCAACGGTCATGATTTCCAAGGCAACTTTAAATATGTGGTATGTCCACAAATAAAACAAAATGAAAAAGATTTTTTTTCCCCAAGTGTATAACTTCCTAATGATCACTGCAAAGTGCACACATGCACACATAAATCAAGAGTAAAAATATTGCTGGGCACAGTGGCATACACCTATAATCCCAGAAGCTCGAGAGGTTGAGACCGGAGGATCACAAGTTCAAAGCCAACCTTAGCAAAAGAGAGGCACTAAGCAACTCAGTGAGATCCTGTCTTTAAATAAAAATACAAAATAGGGCTGGGGATGTGGCTCAGTGATTGAGTGGCCCTGAGTTCAGTCCCCAGTACCCATCCACCTCAGTGTTGCCAAATATTTTCAGCGACAGGGAAAAGGTTTTCCTCATATGTCATCAAAGAGATGAGACACTGCACTTGACCTACACATATAGGGATCTAGGTTTGAGAAGGCTTTGTTTTGTTCCCAAGAGTGGTTCCTGTCCCTAGGGGCAATAAATCATTTGTGTCATGCCTGGCTTCTACCTACAATTTGTAATCCCCACCCCATGGATCCAAAGAAGAAGATTAGAACTCTATTTCAGGCCAGTGCTGGATTATTTTTCCTGCAATATCCTTTTACTAATACTCCCTCCTGTTGAAAAACCCTTCAAGGGTCCTCTGTTGCCATGAAAACCCTCCACAGCTTGGGGCCAGCCAGCCTACCTGTCCTGTCTCAGGTACTGTAATTGCCACAACTGCAATCTCAGCTCCACCCAAAGAAATATGCTAGGGTTTGGGTTTGTCCCCCAGAGTTGAACAAGCTGGAAGTTTGGTCCCAGTATGGTGCTGTTAAGGTGGTAGAAGCTTTAAGAGGTAGGATCTTTAAGATCCTAGTGCAGGCTAATGCAGTAATGAGAGCATCCTCCCTCGAAGGCATTAATGTTGTTCTTGTGGAGTGGTCAGTTCTTGCAAGAGCAAGTTACTGTGAAAAGATCAAGCCAGGCTCCTAAATTCCTCTGACTTCCTGGGTCACCGTGTCTTCACTCTACCTCTTTTGCACACTCTTGCCACACTCCATTCAGCATGTTGTGATGTGGCCTGGCAGGCCCTCACCAGAGGCTGAAATAATGCAGCCACTCAATCTGGGACTTTCAACTTCCCAAATTACAAGCTAAATAAACTTGTTTTCCTATACATTACCCAGCCTCAGATGTTTTACACAGGAACAGAAAATGGCTAACACATCTACTCACTTTTTCCTGAGTGGGTCTTGTATACTATCCCTTATTCATGTCTTTGGTGAATCCAGCAAACTTTCTCTATCATCTATAACTTTATCATCTGAAATGCTCTCCTATCACATCCCCCTTCAAAATCTTACCTGGTTTTCAAATTTTAGCACAGCTTCTTCTTGCTCCATAAAGGCTTTGTGGATAACTATAAATAAAAATGGTCTCTCCTATATTTCTACATATTGAACATTTATCATCTCTACCTCTTTTAGGTCATTTCTCCTGATACCATTTTAAGCTCCCAACTCTGTGTTCGCAACTGTATTATAAGTTCTTGGAGGGTGGCTATGACATTTGATCCATATGTGTGTGATCACATGTATATACATGGTCACACACATGCACGTATACATACACATATATACATACATGTGATATGTATGATGTATCTATGGATAACACATATATGGGATAAATATAATTCAAGCTATATATATATGGATCCCATGTATGGATCATATACATATGCGTGTGAACAATTAATTATATAGTAAATGAATCAATGGGCTATTTCTTTGACTTCCTCTGCAAAACAATGATACTTTACTCCAGCAAGTTGTTCTTCAAGTCTTTGGTCATAAATTATAAATATACTACTACGAGCTTAGCAGCACTCATAGGAAAGCAGCACTGAGACTGAGCTTACCTGGATTTGTTTTGTGTTTTAAGATTCCCTGCCCTAGCAGTGATCTGTTTTATAGACATACCTTAGGTATATAATTGCCACATTTTAATAACTAAAGCCAACTATAAGTATTATAAATTCTTCCTCTATTTTAAATGCCATAGAAGACAAGTATTAGAGAAAGAGAAAGAGCAAAAATTTCTGCATTAAATTTCAAAGATACGCTCAAATCCTAATTCCAAATACAAGTTGGTCAAGACAGTAAAAAGCTTTATATTATTAAAAAGACTTAAATGTAATATATATAGCTTTTATGCTTTTTAATTCATGGGTACTTCAAACTTAACATCTCTATATTATTTTAAAAAACTATCACTAACGTCTTAGAAAAGCACCAAAAATAAATAAAAGTTTGTAAGATTTTCCTTACCCCCCGCACCCCCCACCCAAAAAATATTTTCAAATGTTTTTCTACTTGGTGCACAAACAAACTTCAGCTTACTTTATATCACATTGTTATGCATTTACAATTATGGGATTTGGGATTAATTAGGTTTATTTAACATGCACATTATCAAAAACACAGTATTTGAATTGCAGTAAGAGCTGAAAGCTACTAACCTGAGTCATCTTGTGGTTACAAGGAAATTACTTCTTGACTTTATAAATCATGGCAGTTTCCTCCCTCGGAGAGTGACAGTTGTTTCTCATGACTTAATGTGTAATGTAAATGAAAAGTAGTAGGAGTGAAATCAAATAGCATGGTCCTTCACATGATCAGCCACTTGGTAGGAGTCTCTGAAGGGAATACAGATCCTACAAGGAAAAAACAAATACTGAGGTCATTTTACATAATAGAAAACTGAAGCAGCTATAGCCCAGCCTGGCCTCTTGACCTCTGCATAAATCATCCAGCAATGAAGGGACTAAAGAGAAAAGTTAATGTGCCAGAATTACAAGAGCAGTTTACAAACCAATTCTTCAGCTTTCTGTAAAATATACAGTACTTTCTCCCCAAATTAAATTGAATGATTTCATCTTGTTCCTGGAAAAATTACAAGGATGGACAGTAAACTCTGAATCCAGTAACTAAATTAAATATATATCAACTATTTAAAACAATGTTACTACATTATATTATATTATTCTGATACAACAGGACTGCTCCGTATTTGTTCCTAGTATCAGCCACTTCCATTACTTTGACAAGGCATCCTGGTTCTTCTTCATTTGTTCATACTTATTTTTTTTCTTTTTTATAAGCCTGTCATGAGCCCCATCAAAAGGTTCCTAGCTACTTGAAAAAAATTGTACTTTGCATACCAAAAAACACTTTGTAACATAAAAGCGTTTGGATAGAGCATGAGATCCCAAGAGCAGCCTAGTATGGTAGGAAAAACCCGCTAACCCTAGTCCAGGTCCTAACTGCTTATCTGTACATGAGATGACTGGACCTAAGGCTGGATCACAGTTACTTCTCCTGGTCTCCATATCTCTAGTGTGTACACCACTGCCACCACCAGCTGTGCCTCTTACTACACAGGGATTCTCAAGATGGCAGCGTGGGATGCATGTGGCTTCCCCCAACTTCTGGCTGCTGCCCACTTCACCCCAATCTGGATCCCTGTTTAAGAATCACCGATCTGTGTGTGCTTTCGCAAGCTTCTCTCTGGTCTTGGGAATCTGCACATATAATTCACCCTGAGGCAACTCTTTCCTAACCATATGGGAGTATATGAACTGTGCTATTGAGAGTCATAGAAGCTGGCTCTTTAGGAGGTACATTTAAGAAGGATTTTGAAAGAGCTACCAATCAAAGCACCTCATCCTTCCTCATATAGTTTTAGAATCTATAAAGGAGCATGCATTTGTTAATTCACCCTCATGCAGGGCTGCAAGCTAACAGCTCTCTACTTGGATGCCCTTCTAGACCCTGGCCTGGGCATCCTCTGTCCCAGCTGATCTGGCTCTCTATATATCTTTCCTATATACCTTTCCTATGCCCAAAGATATTAGCCTTCTCAGGTAGCTACTCAAGACAGTGTTCAACACTATAGTTAGAAAGAGCAACCTATGAAAAGAATTTTAGATAGTGATTAAGGCTTATGTGAGCTAATGGAGTGGGAGCGAGGACTGGAGGTTTTTCTATATGTCTAATTTACATCCCCCACAAACACATACCTACACATATTACTAATTTCCCTTAATTTTCCAAAATCACAGGAAAATTTTGCCTCTAAAATGTATGAATCCTACTATCTTTAGCAAGAACTTGCTGGGTAAGGATAAACTAGTATAGTACAATCTAAAAAAAAAAAAAAGTTGAATGTTGGTAAGTCCTTTTACTATAGCAGCCATATAGCTCTGCATATTTAGAATGGAAAGAAATGTGTTTCCCTCTCTTCTTTCTTGTTGAATAAATGGGAAGCCATATTCTCAAGCAAAGCTCCATAACTTAAACCTTCTGAAATTTTGGGGTAAAGTCATGTGTGTGAATCGTCCTAGGAAGAGGGTCAACACCTCACACTATGACTCTGCAAAGTCAGTTTTTTTGTTTTTTTTTTTTTAATATTAAAAAAAGGAGTCGGAGGTGGTGGCACCCTCCTGTAATCCCAGCAGCTGGGGAGGCTGAAGCAGGAGGACTGAGAGTTCAAAGCCATTCTCTGCAATGGCAAGGCATTAAGCAACTCAGTGAGACCTGTCTCTAAATAAAATACAAGATAGGACTGGGGATGTGGCTCAGTGGTCAGGTACCCCTGAGTTCAATCCCCAGTACCCAAATAAAAAAGGAATTCTGTGTCAATTTAAAAATACACATTCATCTATTCAGCAAATACTAATTAAGTATTTGCCAGGAAAATATTCTGATACTTACAAATTATTAAAGAGAAAGATATCCACATCCCTTCCCCATCAATCAGAAACCCAGGATTTAATATGGGAAATATACAAAGAAGAAATAGAAAATTTAAATATAGTAGATATAGAAATATATAGAATTTAGTTTGGGGATGGATAGCTCCTGACAATTGCTAACTTCATGCCTTGCTTTATTTTATCCAAATAATCACAAATATTTAGATATAATTTTATTAACCCCATTATAAATTGCTAAACATTATGAACTTTTAGGTCACTCACAAATATTCAAAATCACACATGCCAATGGCCCATATCTGGAGTGTTCAAGTTATGATCGGAGCGTGCACAGGTAACATAGGGGCACATGGGAGAGACAACTAATGCAGCCTATAGTGGGGGAGGGGGGCAACAAAGTCTCCCCCAAAGGGATCACAGCCAAACTGAAGCTCAAAAGATGGGTAGGGGGTCAGCTGAAGATGGTGATTCTATGCCCCCCAAAGGAAGAAATGAGACCAATCACAATTTTTTGGGGATAAATTTAAGGCAAACTTATAACAACAACAATAGTAACACAATATATTAATTACTTACTATGGGTCAGGCCCTCTTGTAAGTGTTTAGCATATTCCATTAGCTCACTGAAATCTTCCCAATAACTGTATGAAACAGGAATTACTATTTCTCTCACCTTCCAGACAAAAAAAATCTGAGGTAAAGAGAGCACAAGTGACTTTCTCAAAGTAACACAGCTAATAAATGGCACAGCCAGGATTTGAACCCAGAAAGTTTGACTCCATAGTTCACATTCCTAACTCCAGCTGATGGGGAAGAGAGGAGGAAGGGAAGGGAAGGAGAAATCAAAGCCTACAATAGTAGGAAGGAGTCAGATCTCACAGGACCTAATTCGGCCTTCGGAGGAGTCTGGATTTTATCCTGAACATAAAATGGGGAACCCTTGAGTTATTTAAGTAGAAGCAATGACAAAAATTGGTCCTGGGTTTTAGAAATCTCTTATGGCGATGGTGCAGATTAGCATTGCCTAGATGGATCACAATGAAGACAGAGAAAGAACCTGCTTAAACTCTTCAGACAAAGAATGATATTAGAGATACTTAAAAGGGGTAAAAAAGGAGAAAGAACTAAATTGATAGGTGACTGATGAAGAATTAAGGCAAAGGACACTCTGAAGGTGAAGTTGTAGTAAGCACGGGGCTGACATAGTTGGATGTGCCACTTCTGTGCTAAAGTGAGGTGAAAGAAAAAATCTGCAAGGTAAACAATAGGAAACTCTGGTAGGAATCTTAAAAGATTCTTCCTTTGGAATGTACGTGAATATATCCAAAGACTTTTACTTAAGATTTATGCATTTGCAGGACACAGAATATAGGAAAATCTAGATGTTGTTAATGGGTTTTGAAATGCCAACATGATGGTCAATGTGTTATATTTTATATTACTATATGCATTGTCTGATTAGTTCTTTATATTGTGTATTTGATTTCCGCACTTTCCAGGCAACGCCCAGAGGCAACGTCTCTTAGGATCTCTGCATCTTTGTCTGGTACTGCGGTTTACGGTGTTCAATAAATGTCTACTACATAAGCAGGTGAAGAAAGAAAAACAAAGAGGTTAAAACAATAACCCTGGGTGTCTGATGCTGATATACCACCAGAAAGAATGCAAGAGGAGGTGGGGTTTTCAGGCTTGGGCAGTGTTTCTGTAATAACAGAAGGACGTATAAGTAAGATGGACATGAAGCTCAGGGAGCAGGCTGGATTAGAGAGCATGTAAAAAATCATCATTATCTTAGGACTTGGCAGTTACAGCCCAGGGCATAAATTAAATCAAAAGATAATGTGCAGAGTAAGAAAAGGAATGAGGTCAGAACACCAAGGGTCACGAACATTTAACCCCTGTAAATGCCAGTACTAGAGGAGCAGCTAGCCACCTGCATTAGAATGCTACCATTATGGTTCGGCTAGGTGGTGTCTCTTAAAAGCTCCTGTGTGAATACAGGAAGTGAAATGATTTGATTGTGAGAGCCATAACCTAATCAGTCCATCCAAATCTTAATGGACTAACTGGGTGGTAACTCCAGGCAGGTGGAGTGTGGCTAGAGGAAGTTAGGTCACTGGGGGCTGCTCCAAAAGGGTGCATGTTCTCTATGGCCCCTTCCCTTCCTCTCTCTCTGCTTTCTGGCTGTCCTGAGCTGAGCAACTTTCCACTGCCATGCCAAGGTAGGGCCATGATGCTCTGCCCTATCTTGGGGCCCAGAAGAATGGAACCAGCCACCCATGGACTAAACCTCTGAAACCATGAGCACAGAATAAAATTTTCCTCCTCTAAGTTGTTCTTACCAGGTGTTTTGGTCAGCAATAAAGAGGTAACACAGCTACTGCAACTGAATTGAATTAAAGAATGATTGACTAAGCACCTAACGAGGCAACAGTGGCACTGGAAGCTCTAAGAGCCAAAGATGTGGGGAGGAAGGTCCCACTGTCTAGAAACTACAGGCTCACACAAGACGAGCATAGCATGACAGCTGAATTACGAGGGTAGGAAGCAAGTATGTGACTGATTGATAGAAAATTACAGATAGCAAGCAGTAGTGGATTCCACAGTTTGGGGGTGACATTGTGACTCTGACTCCCTCTAAATAATGAGGCAAGTGAAATAGCCTCATTAATATTCCCAGCTCTACACTGAACTCCTTAATGATGCGTCAGAGAGATCACAGTGAACATGGAAGGCAGAGGAACAACTAACTGGCATTTCAAATTGAAATTCTATGAGCAGAACAAACTCAGGGCTTCAAAACAACAAAATATGTGACACTGGGAAAATATGACCCCTTCTATAATCCCAACAGGGACTATAGATTTATCTAGAGGAACTATATGTTGAAAGAAAATAGGCAATGGGAGTGAAGTTTATCTTAAAGGAGAGAGACCATA